ATGAAAAACAGAACAAGAAACCTCTTCCCAGCTAGGAAACTCTTCCCAGCCCCATTCCGAGGAAGGCAGAGCATTCGCCCTTCATCCGTTCCTGCAGCTACAGGAGGCTTGCCCGCGGCCACCTGCTGCCAGCCATGCCTCTATCAACACACACCCCCTCCAATTTTTTCCTTTGGCAAAAGAACAGTTAACTGAGAAACCACTCACACTATCCCCCGTCGCTATTTTCCAGCAGTATTGCACTGCATTAAAACGCACCAGGTTTTGGGCAGGGTAAATCCCGGCGCTGTTATTCGCTTTGGGGAAGGCGTTACTGGGGTTTACCTGTCGGCCACCGCGCTCCTTTCCGGCAGGCCCTCTCCCCAGGGAAGGGGCGAGCTCTCCCCTCGGCTGGCCAGCAGTCCCGTCAGGCGGTGACAGCAGGGTTGTGCTTTGGCACGGCTGCAAGCACCGTGCCGGGCGAGGAGGGCGGCGAGGGAAGCGCCCCGGCCAACTGTCCTGTCTTGCACAGGGCACAGCAAACCTTTTCTTTTAAGGTCAGAACTGGTCTGGACCAGAGAAGGGAAACCTTTTCTGTCCCGAAACAACCCCCGGGTGGTCTGGACCCAGTGCTTTCTGGCTCGGTCACAACCTCTGCGTCAGGTCTGTGACAAATGCGTGCTGTGTTGAGGCAGCACGCAGCTTGTTGAGACTAATAACAGATGGGGCATGCCGGCTCACACCGCCCCAGCCACCCGAAAATGAGCGAGAGCCTTTGAAACCTGCTGTACCCAGAGAGCTATAAACCCATAAAAACTCATTTGCAAGCCCTGGATGGAAGATCAGTTGCCAGGGAGGTGGAAAACTTCTGCCCTGTTTCTCGCTGGTTTTTCCTCACCTAAGGCAGCCGGGGAAAGGACAGGGAAACAATGGGAGCTCCATTAATGATTTTACCGCAGCTGGGGGACAGGCATACACAGCAGAGAGAGAGCTGGGAGGGCAGGGGCTCAGTCAGGAGAGCTGCGCTAGCCTAGGGCAATGCACTGCCCTGTTTCTCGCTGGTTTTTCCTCACCTAAGGCAGCCGGGGAAAGGACAGGGAAACAATGGGAGCTCCATTAATGATTTTACCGCAGCTGGGGGACAGGCAGAGCTACACAGCAGAGAGAGAGCTGGGAGGGCAGGGGCTCAGTCAGGAGAGCTGCGCTAGCCTAGGGCAATGCAGAGACACAGGAACTTGATTCTCACTCCTTGAAATAACAAATGCTGTGGTGAAAACACAGCTTTGTAGACTTCAGCTGCTAAAGCAAGGGCTCCAGAGAGAAATTCGTCCCCTCTTAAAACCAATGGCTTTGCTCCCACTGAGGTCAGAGGCGGCAGAGTTTCATCCTGGTAAATAATCTAGCATCCATGGGAAGTTTTATCTCAAAAGAAAAACTAATGAAAATGCATAGCTATATGTAAATTGTAAAGTACCCCTTAAAGAAATGCTTTCTCAGACCTGTTTTTTCAGAGGTACCCAGTAGCCCTGACCCAACAAGCCAAAGGGTAAAGCTTGTCCAAGGGAGCAATGCCGAAAGGTAAGCAACAGCAGAGAGTTTCCCAGCATGGAGGTGTTCCATTCAAAAGCAACAAACAGCAGCTCTGCTTCGCTAGCTCAGCTAGTGCGAGAGGGCTCCCGCCACTTTCCGACATCCAGCTGCGTCAAGCGGCGCAATCCAAAAAGGAGGTACTAAAAATTATAAGGCAGTTCTAGTGGGTAGGCCTAAAACTTTCATTTTGCTCAGCTGAGCTGGCCGTGGGGCTCCCTGGCCTCCCACCCACTTTGACTGCACCGTGCTCCTCCCGCACCAGCCACCACCACCAGCCAGCTCTGTTTTCTCCATCGGCGCTACCAAGGAAAGAGAGCAAAGGCTGATGAAATTCAGCACTTTCTGTTGGCAAATGGGAACTTCTCTCGGTAAAGCAGAAGTGAAGTTATTGCTGTCCTCCACTCGTCACGTGCAAAAGCAGCATGTTCACCACACAGGGCTGAGAAGAAGCTGGTGGGGGAAAGGAAGGGCACTGCCTTGTAGCCCATGCTATAATGCTAAATAAGAGGAGTCATCATTCAGGTCTTCACCAAGGTATATTGACACAACAAAATAAAACAGCTTCTCAGGCTACTCCCCCCACCTCTGAACCCACAGCATATCTTTCTCCTGGCAAAGCTGTTGTGTTCATTTGATGTCGGGGCTGGGGGGAGCAGAAAGGGACCCCAACACACACTTCATCACCAAAGCAAGCCGTGGTGTGCTGGCCACTCCATCCCGTCAGCCGAGGAGCAAGTGAACATGGAGCGTGGGGATAAAGCCATTTCTCTTGCCCTTCCCAGGCAGAAGAGAGAAGCAGAAAGCATATCCTATTTCATGCCTCTGGCATGTGGAAGTAAGAACATTATTTTATAATAATCTTCTTATTAAAGATCAGATGATAATGGCTGATGATGAGGCGCCGTTTGGAGGAGCCCCGTCAGTGGGCTCATTGTCAGCACCAGCAGCTCTGCCTGGGCGAGCTGAAGGCAGCCCTTCTTCTTGGGCAGCCCCGCGCCGCCTGGCCGGCCGGTCTTGGGCTCCCTTGCTGGGGTCTCCAGAGGGACAGCATGGGGTCGCAGCAGGGCCACAGGCTCAACATTTGTCTAATAGCAAACCCAGCCTGGACTGGAAAACACAAAGGGCACGGTTGTGGAGTTACTTGAAATGCTAGAGCTGCTTTCCTCTGTGCGACAGAAAGCAGATCCCCTCTCCCCTTCTTTCATTTAAAGAGTAAGATCTTTGTGGGTTTGATTTTTTTCCTCCATTTGCCTAGTTTTAAAAATCAAATCCCCTCTTCAGAGGTAGCTTTATCTTAGATGGGTATTTTTCACGCCAGTGAAAATACTAAAAAAACGGCCCCCTCTCCGATGGACACATTATTGGCATCAGGCTTAAGGTTTTGAGCTTTTTAAAGCCATTTTGAGGGCTTTAAAAAGGCCCTTAAGCTTTTTTAAGCTTTATAAAGGCCACCTGGGAGGGAGCTCACCCTGCAATACAAAGACAGCAGGTCGCTAACAGACAGACCTGCCCTCCCAAGAGACACTTTTCTAGAGCTGCACTTGGAGATTTTGCTACCTACGAAGCAAGCGTAGGAGGTAGATCGACTCCTGTGGTCTCACCGATAGCACAGACCACCCAGTATCCTCCTTGGCGTTTAGTACCACAACCTCAAAGGTTGCACAGAGCCCTTGTGAATTGTAACTGGGAATTGTCAACTCATCATCAACTTCAGTGTGCCAACACACAGAGCTCGGGGGGGTCCCAAATGTACAACCCCTCCAGCCGGGCTGTCATCACTGTCAGCAGCATGGGGAAGCTCCAGATAGCTATAGGTGGCTCCGGGATCAGTATCTCAGCCATAATCGCTCCATGCTTAGCTCCACCACGCAGAAGGTTTTGTGTGGCTACGTGTGATGTTAATGTGTGGGCTCTCTTTCACCAAAGCTCCCTCCTGTCACAAGAGCTAAGCAGAGTAGCACCTCAGTTATGCTGAAACAAGAGTAGGGGTGTAGTTAAACTGACCTCAAGCACCGTACGGAAAAAAAGGGATTTGTCCTCTTGTCACTGATATGCCCAGAGATGATGTACCTGCTCTGCTGTGCTCTCATGGGTTGCGTGTTTTGCCCGGAGTTAAATACCGTGCTATGGGTCAGTTACCATCATGCTGGTCACTGCTGGGATGGGACAGGATTGCAGCAGCAATCAGCTTTCATTTGGAAACAAAAATATAAACATGTTGCCTGTGTAAACAGAAAATATATAGACAGAGACAGAGTGAGTGTGTACGCATGTGATAAAGGTAATAACTTTGAGAGCCACACCTGGTGGTGATGTGTCAAGGGAAATACCTTGGTCATCAGAGAACTTCAACTGTGAAGCTCTCTCTGTGGCACAACCAGTAGGTATTGCCTCCTTCATGGTCATTCAGGAAAAGCTGACCAGCAGCCCTGCGTATTGTGGAACAGTCTCCAAGGGGAGGGGTGGGGAAGTACCTAATTTTAGAGTAAACGGAGTCCTGCTTTGAGAACTGCGTGGGAAGGGGAGCCCGAGGAAAGGAAGCCCCCGTCTCTGCTGGTGCTGCAGTCGCGCCTCGCGTGCCAGGGCACCCCCGTGGAGACAGGCGTTCACGCGACATGTAGAAACCAAGCTCGGGGAAGGCTTTGGAGAGCCTTATCGCTCTTCTGACAGTCACAGCACTGAAATATGAATATGTGTTACACAGAAGAAATGAAACAAATCCAAATCTGTGTCAGGAGATGATTTTATAGGGCTCCTGTTGTGTCTGAACTCATGAAGCAAAGCCTGAAGGCATTTCCAATCCAATCAAAAAATCACTGAAGCCAAGCGCAGCCTGTTGACTGCTTCAGAAGGCTTTGGAGCAGGCCTTTTCTGAACCATGGAGGGAACACATTTTGGAAAGGAAAAGAAATACATCATGGTAATTGTACAAAACACTTTCAGCATCCCTTAGAAATAGGCACATTTACCTGCAAGCCGACAAAGAGCATTGAGGTAACAGTTAAAATTCAAAAGACATTTCATTACAAATTGAATCATTCACGCAACAGGAGAGCAGTTTTGTCTTTTCGTTTCCACTCAAACATTTTGGGCTGCACAGAACACTTTTGTACTCATTATTTTTGCAAAATTAACTGCCAGGTCAACTTTCAGCA